CGCTGCCCGACCCCCCGATCCTCGGGACTCGATGCGCGCTGCGCAGACCTGCGAGCGAGCCTGGATGGGAGACGCCCCCCGCACGACCCGCCGCCTCATCAGTGGGCGACTCCCGCTTCCACCGCGCGCCTGGACCCCTCCCGGACGTGCAGCCCACGCGCTGGCCGACCGCCGGCCCCCCACTGCCCCCCTCCACCGCGCCCGTCAACCCGACCTGACGCGGACCGCCAGCGGCCCCAGCCCTTGCCCCGCAACTATCCATCGACCAGCTACTCTGCGCTATGCGGAGTCTCACCAACGCGGGCTCGATGCTGTTCCTCCGACAGCGAGTTCCCGCCGCAGACTGATCCTGCACCCCGACCGACGCAGGAGCTGCCCCGAGTCCGCCGGCAGCGTTTCGTCATCCAGCGAGGCCCCGGCCCTCCATCCCCTCGGCGCGCCGGACAGCGTCCCGCACACGCCCCCACGCCACTGCCCGTCATGCCCCGGCCTTCACAACGTGGACGCGCGAGTGCCGCTCGACCGAGCTCGCAGATGCCCGCAGTACGCGACCATGGAGAAGCTCGACCTTGCTTCCTCTTCCACACCGCAGTCCCCTCCCGCCGCCCCTCGCCGGCCTTTCCGCCGGCTCCGGTCCGCTCAAATCCGCCCGACGTCGTGCCCTCCCGCCCGGGAGCCCGCGTCGCTCACGCCCACTCTTCTGCCGCCGCCTCCCATAGACGACGAGAAAACGCCTCCCCTTAAGATGCAAAGCTCCGTAGGGAATCCCACCGGGGAAATTTTGCCGCTTCAGCAATCTAGCAACCAAACGCAAGTCGCTGTTATTTTTGTCGAAATAGACCGTTCTCCCAAAAGCGCGATCGGAGGATCAATGTTATACTTGACTACAGTTGTGTGAATACGACGGCAACGTTTCTCAGCGATCCTCACAAAGTCGACTACGCCCTTCCTCCCCACAAGCTCACAGTCCGTGATGGGTCAGTCCACAGCCCAAGTGTGTAGTACTGAATCCGACCCCACAGTTCACTCCACTGTCTTCCGCACCCTCCATTCATAAGATAGTAGCCTCACCAAGAACAACAGCTTGAGCGGCGAGGTTGAACTGAGAGCAACGTCGAACCACGCTTCCCTAGCATTCGTTCGAAACTCGGGGCGCAGAAAGGAGAAAGATGTTACGGCCCTTCGATAGACTCCGACCTCGTATATATAAAACGCTGCCCCGGATTACTCTTCGCTTCCCAAGTTCGGACGATTGATTCCACGCGGATCTGGCGGCGAAATCTCCAGAAAATTCTCTAGTCCCAGTATTAAGCACTAGTATCCGAAAAGAGAATATTCCCCCTTACCCTGTCTTAACATCTCAAAGCAGAAAGATCGCACGGGGACGAGATTTCCGAAAGAGACTACTGACCCAAAATAAGATCTCGCCTTGCCCCATAGTGATCTCACAGAAAACCCCCACGATAGGACTCAGTGAATGAAATGGGGAACAGTTTTGAAGTGGAAAGTCGCAAAAATAGTCCAAATGCAAGCCAATTCCAACCGTTGCAAAGTACACGGTATAATACCTCCAACCAAATTCAGCGGGCAATGACGTGTAGCCATATACAATGCCTCCAGAATACATAATGAGTGGTCCAAGCAAGTTGAAATCCACGAAAATTAGAATTCGAAACAAAAAATCATTAAAGAAAATGACTACAGTAATGAACAAAGAAAGACGGTAGGCAAGCAATGGGGAAATGAGAAAAAGATACGGGAGTATACAGAACAGTCTTAAATATTATTTTTCCAAAATTCCGTACAGAAATAAAACAATCCATCAAAGCAATTGAATACTAGTAGGCTTAAGTTTGCAAGAAGAGCGTCCAACTTCTGGGTATAATAAGATAAAACAGATAAGCTAGACATCCAGCCTAGTACCGAGCAAGAGAAAAATTCATCAACAAATAGAGAACGAAAGATCTCACTCCAGACAATGTCGAGCAGTGAAGGACCCGAAACTACAGCACCCAGCAAGTTAGTCCACAAAATATCAACTGTGTCAGACTACCTGGCAAACCTTGAATTGAAGTCTGTCCGTCTGACGAACCTTTACAGTGGCATTACTAATGAAATCGAGAAAAATTGCCTGCCAAATCAAACCAAATATTGTGACAACCGTTGGAAGAAAAGATCTTACATTGAAAAGCCGGGAGTGCTCATCACAAATGTTGCAGAGTAACCAACAAAGATTCGGAATACCACGGGAGTCAGCACTACTTAATTTGCAGGCAGGTAATCGTGTCCAAAAGCGATAAGTTTTTCCAGAAAAACTTTTCAAGGTAGGTCACACCAGCGATGCTGTCCCGAAATTCTCGAAAAGTTAAAAATGACTTACATGTATAAACGCCCCAAAAATGAGAATGCCAAACTCAGAAGCGAGGCTGAGAAAAAACAAGTGCGGTAAAACAGAGGCCACGGCCAGAAACAGTCCGGAATGGTATCATAGCCCAAGAGTAAAACCATATATGGCACCAGATTGACGGTATGGAATAATCTCGGAGATACAAATGGCGAACATCCGAACACCACTACAGGACGCAAGATCCAACGCCATACAAATACCGGAACGAATATTCAGAAGTAGCAGACAGTGTGTGATAATTGACAATTGCCACGGAAATAAAAAATCCAAGTTCTGCAAGATATGAAATCAAAAAGCAAAATTCCTCCCAGATTCTGAAAAAAAGTAAATAACGTAAAAAATAACTTCAAAATATCGGGCCTAAAAAATCCGAAAACGTTTCGCGTAAATCGTCATAATTCAATCCATGGAAGCAGATTCCGGAATTTCACAGAAAAAAGCTGCTACCAAGAAACTTTCAAGTATCGTATCAGCAAACCGAAACTGTTTCTTCATTTCCAAAAACAACTCCACGAAGCGAAGGAAATAAGCCAAGATACCACCTGAAGACTCCAATTGAAATCGTACTCCTCCTCGAGACTGGTCCTACAAAGATTTAAGGAAATAACATTCTCCCTCCGAGAGAACCAGGGAGATAAAAAGGGGGCGCCGGAACTGAGGCAACCAATCGCCGGCAGAAACTGATGGAGCACGGACGTGACGAGCCAGTGCACACCTTACCTTCGTCACAAAGAACCTGGAATCACATCTGAAATTACCAAAACGAAGGCATGCAAATCTGCATTCAGATAGGAATACAGCGTAGTGAAGGTGGAGGGGTGATTAAGACGTTTGCAAATGAATTTGAAAGAAGAAACTGAAAGACTTGTGCAAAGAAAACGAAGAGAAGTATAAGAAGAAAACAAGACAAACCAAATATCGAGAAGGAATGTTAAAAATCAATGGGGATGTGGGATAATTAAAAACTGTTGGAGAACCAACACACATAATGCAGGGAGAATGAATAAGGATACCAGTGACGGAATGCGTGGAGAAATCGAAGGTAAAGAAAGAGCCAGATCCGAAGAGAAAGACTGAAATATCTTCAAAAAAGAACCAGATGGGCTAGTGATTGTAGAGAATTGAAAGAGCAGTTCAAAAATTGAAATAACTAGTCTCACCGGGGCGAAGATACGGATTTGTGAAGAGAAACGAAGAAAAGTTTCCGCACAGGGAAACCAAGATGCCGCCCTAATAGTGAGATATCAGCAGACGACGGCAAATGATATCCGGGCCAGACCCAGAAGGCAACGACGCATGAGACCAATATACAGCAGACGACCTCCAGAACGGAGCACGCAGGGAAAAACGGACCTCAACCGAATGCGTGGTCTTTTTCCCCGCGACCGCGGGTAGATAGTGGTTTGTCGGAAAAAACGGAGTACAAGAAGCTAGACCGAGTCCCCAGTGCGATCCTGCTGACGAACGCCTGCCCGCGGCCGGCGGATCCGCGGGCGCACCCATGCGCCCGCCCGTCGAGCCCCCCGCCTGCACCGTGCAGGCAACATCCCACTTAAGCTAAGCGCCGGTTGGCGCGCCGCCGCGCCCATTGCCACACAGGTCGCTGGAGCGTTGGCCCGCGCTCGGAGATGGCGCCGCACTCGAGTATCGGCGAATTTGGAGCCCCCAGCCGCCGTTCCGCTTGCCCCGCCTTGGGGTCGCACCACCCGCCCGCATCGCAGCGGTCTTCCCGGCCCCCCACCGCTCGGCGAAAGATCCACCACTCCTGGCGCGGAGCTCTTTCCGCGGAGCAGATGTCGCCGCTGCGCCGAACAGCGCCCGAACCGACGCCGGCTCATCTGGCGCCACCTGGTCACGTCCTTCGCCGAAACGAAACCGCCTTCCAGGCCCTCGTCCCGCAAGAGGTCTCCGACAGAACTTCGCAGATGTCATTCCAATGATACGTCCACCGTCCAAGAGAATCGCACCTATCCTGCAATAGAATCACGAGAGAAGACTCCGTCCGTTGGACGAAGATTCCGCGATAAGATGCGCAGACTTCTTCGACTTGTACTCGGAAGGACTGGCTGCCTCGCCGCCTACCTCCCGACCTTTAAACGACCAGCTCCGAGAAAGCTTCTGCCTGTTTCGACCCGAAAAAACACCTGCTTTTCCCGTTGTTCCACCAACCTTCCAACCTGTCGTCGTCACACACCCGCCCCCGGAGAGACTCCCCTGCCTTGTGGCGCGCGCGGCGGCGGCCCGCGACGCCCGCCCCCGCCGACGAGCAATTGATAGACGGCCCCCCAACCGAGGAGATGCGGCCTGATCGACAGAGAGTAGCGACCGGCAACCCTACGAGGACCGACTGGACAACGTCCGGGCGGAGGTGCCGAAGCCTACTGCCGCGCCCGATTCCACGCGCGCGATCGAGTTGTGGCCGTCCCCGCCGCCCGCGCCGTACCAATGAGTTCGGGCCGATGACTAGTCCTGACCAACCGAGCCCAGCGTGCCGGCGGTCGCTGGTGCCCACGAGCGGGCTGACCCTGGGGCGCCCGAAACTGGCATTGGCCCTTTGCCCGCTGTCCCCTCGCGGATTTGTCAAAGCAGGCTGATGGACTGGCTGCTTCGCGCCAGCCTCGCTGTCGTAGAACCGCAGCATGACAGCACAACGGGCGACGGCGGGCCTGGCTCCCCGTTGCCAAGGGCAAGACTCTCTCCAGACGACGGAGTAAAGCTACCCACGGTGAGGCGCCGTTTCCGTCTCAGCGTCCGCGCCAGCACTAACACCGTAATCGCGCGCACCCCCAACACCGCCCCCCGTCTCCTCCGCAGCCGCGCTGCCCTGGCGCAGGCCCTCCGACCTGCCCCTGCCGGGAGGACGCCCTGACGCTCCGAGCAACAATTTGCCTCCGGGCAGCCGACTCCGCCGACCGGCGCCCCGCCCACCGAACCATGAGAACCCGCAGGCGATTACAGACGCGCAACGGTGCCTAGAGGCGTGCCCCCGCCGAAAGACTCCCCCGCGCGCCCGGTCTACCCCCATCTCGCTCCCGCCTCGCGTCCCGCGCTGCCGCGCTGTCCTCCTCGTTTACGTGGCCGGCGCGGAGAGCGGCCCGCTCCGCCGGCTCGTGGAGCTAACTGCCCCGGGACTCCGTGCCAACTGCTGCCTACCCGGAGGAAGATTGGTTACCCGGTGGGATTCTCTACGCCTGCGACACGGGTCTCCTTCTGATTGGACGCAGAAGCGCGCGCGCGCCGCCAGGCGAGAAGCCGTTCCGCTCTGCCTATGCCGAGGCGCCGCGCGGCAGCCCTCATAGTGCCCCTGAGCTGCGAAGAAGATCTTGACCCGGCCCGCGAGCGGCTGGGCGCCGGGTCCCCGGCCCCGCCGGTACGGGCAGGCCACTAGCGGACCCCCAGAGCCCCAAGGCACGCGTCTCCGCCCTCGGCGCGAGGCTGCGCCCGTGGTGCGGCCGCCGCCCTCGTCCGTCTACCCGCCCGCCCGCCGCACCCCCGATCCGCGGGCCCCAAGATCGCGGCGGCCGGTTAGCGGCAGTCGTGACCGCCCCGACCGCCCCGCCCCACCCGACCCACAGGCTCCTCCACCTCCCCTGTCTGAAAGACTTTCCTGCGCGCCAAATGGAGAGTGCGGACGGCCGATCCAAGGACGGACGGCTCGCGGGCCGTTCCCTCACGCCAATGCCTCTCCCGAGACACGACGACGACACTGTCGGCTCACGAGCCGCCGCCGGAGGCTCCCTCCGTCTTCCGC